CTATAATGGCTGATTATTTGAGATTGATTACAGCAAGTTCCCGATTACGAAATGCTCCCCACCTGCCAGAAATGTAGAAATTGTTACGAGCAATTTTGAGAGTTCGCACCTGCGGGTTGTTATATGTGACGAAAGTCCCACTTCCTCCGTCCGGAATTAAATAAAACAGTTTGTTGACTGACCACATTTTTATCATGTGATTTTTATTTTTCCTTCAAAACTGGACCAGCCTATCTACTATGTGTTTAGTCAATGCTGTCAAAAATTTATCGACATATAATAAGATGCAGACATATGGTAGTACTTTGAAGCCAAACGACTCAGCACCAGGATTTGAACATTCAGTCCCCCACCACCAAAACCATGTGCCCCGGACCCAGGAAGGCCCGGCGCATGGGTGATGCCCTTTCCAGTGGTCTTCAAAGTATCAGAAGGGGGGAGTTGCCTCAGCGCTCGGGCTCTAGCCCAAAGATCGACAGCCTTCGCAACGCACGATCGACAGAATTGGCACCTATGTCTGCGTACCGCCATCGATGGATGCACGACATCCCCCCCATCTTCCACAGCAGCACACCGAGATGCCTGGGATCCCCCACTGCCCAGAGGTCTCCTGGTGGCTAAAGACTAGCCGTGGGATATTTACGCGCAACATAAGCTCTGTGTTGAGCACAGATCTCCGATTCAGTGCCTTCCTGATGCAAGCAACCCCTCTTTCCAAACAGGCTTCGACCATGCCAACACGACAATGGATGGTTTGGATGCTCTATCGGAGACCCCACGTGTCGCTATGGTGGCGTTCTTGCATCTTGCAATGGCACGGGCGAAGCTCAGTTGCAACGGCACCCTTGAAAGCGGCGTGAATGGCGCGCAAAGTGTTTCTCGCGGCACTTGCCCACCATAGCCAGTTTCACGATCTTCTGGCTGCCACGCAGCGAGGGCACCATCACATTCTCCCAAACCTTCCGTGGTGGTCTTAGCACCCATGGCGTCCTCACCCATGGCAGGGGCCCTTTCTGCAAACGCCGTGATTGTGGGGTTCGCAGATTTCTGGGTCTCCGATCCTAAGCTGCTGTTCCTCACAAGGCCATCAAAACCACGGTGGCGATCAAGGATCGAGCGGTACAGAACATGGTTTCGTAGTCTTCCCCCTTTGGTAGGAATGGTGTCGACCTGCCACCAAGACGGCAGCAACAAAAATCCACTCTGGGCTGCGCACCGTCAGCCGCAACGCGACCTGGTCAAGGACCTGTTTTGGGGGCTGTTCGCCCAGACCTTGAGAAACCTCGACTTTTTGGCCTGAATCACAAGGGTTCAAAGTACTGCCATGTGGCCGGTACTTATCCATTGTCCACAAATATTTGGCAGCACATAGCAAATGTGTAGGCAGTGCCTTGATCCAATTTGGAAGGAAAACTAACAAATTCGTGATACAAATATAGCCTCTTAAGCAAATTGTTTCATTTATTTCTGGACAAGGAAGCTTCGCTTGGTGTGGAGCTGCTGAAGGCAGATTCTCTGTGGACTGTTCATTTTCAATATGAAAGCCGGCAAAGATTATTTTTGTCCGAAATATAGTAACTTCCTTGTCTCTCATGCCGAACTAGCTGCGAAATCGAATTATGGTTTGCGTTTCTGCATTCCATGTTGCGGCAGCTAGAGGCGCAACAAGTGCACCTGATGTGCTACATCGAGATATTCAACACCGACTGATGGACAGCAATGAATATGCAAGTTTGCGTTCATTGACAACTACCCACTTCAGTGGAACCATGAACATCTCTCCACTCGCCGCCCGACAGACGATGCTCGGCAGGCTTGCCACGCGAAGAGAATTCTCTGGGTCCTGGAATTGTTGAACAGCCACTGAGCTGGAGCATCTACCGCTGTTGTCGAGGAGCTTCTTTGGATCTTCGCTGACGCATCGCCTCAGCTTCGGGCCCGCTTCGCAGCCAAAACCTGTCAAGGAATGGCGCACACCACAAAAGGGAGCTATTTTGAGGGGCAATATAAAATAGGGAGTTCAGTTTTGATCAGTCGTGTGGCGAGTTACCTTCGTTCACAGTCGCGGATGTGGGGGAGTGGAACATGCCCGCATGCACGCTACACTCCTATTCACTAGGGAAAAAGGGGCCAAACAGCACGTATCCAAATGTGTACAAAGTTTACGGGTTTGTGTTACTTTTGTGTTCTTAGCGTGCAGGACTTTGATGAAATGTGTTTTATGTGTGTTCGCAAAAGTGTTATTTGGCCCTTTTTTCCTAGTTATTATTCCTATTGAAACGTGCGTGCGACCCTTGCCAAAAATGCATTGTGGCTGTACTGGACGGGGGCGGGAACGCGGCATGTCAGACACAATCAGTGTTCGCTCTTGGAGCGTTCGTCAATGGGCATTGAGGAGTATTCCTAGATCTGCTGCTACCCAGCGCTCAACGTCGCCCATTTCCTCTGATTTTCGCCAACTGACTTGAGCACATATCCTGTGTATTCTTCAACGACCTTTCCTGGTTGCCGCGCAATCATTTGCATTTATTTTTCGGAGCATCGTAAAGCTGTATATGATCCGATCAATTCCGTTAGTAGCTGCAATATTACCCTTCCGATTCCAGGTGTGTGGTGGCGTCGTGGCCCAACATAAGGGATGAGGAGCGTTCACGCTGGCATTTAAATCCTCCCATTTGGAGCAAACACAGAAAGAGCGTCATCAAAAGCATCAATGGCACACAGCAACAGCGATTCCGAAATTCAGATTCCTATTTCCCGAATTTGTCTCCCTGCCGAAAATGATTTAATATCAGTATGACGGAACAATGGAACATGCATGGACCACCATTAGAAACTAGTCGACCTAAAGAATGGTGCACGCTGAAAAGCGCATGCTTGCTTTGGAGGACTCATGAACTTTGCCTTGCTCCGAAAGTTCAATTCAAAATGTCAATAGTCTCTTCCATATTACCCAAGGAATGTAGGGTACGTAAGGCGCAGTTCTTTGAGCTTTGCCGGTGAATTCATTCTTCTTGAAATGTGTTGCGTTAATCAACTGTTTGTTTCTTGTGCACTCCAATCGACACATTTCAGTGGTACAGTGAAGTACACTAATGTTTGATCGCAAGGAATTCATATCATTTTCCAGATTCCCATTTGTATGGCTTAAGCCATACAGCAAGCTTGCTGTATTCTGCTTCGAAGTTTTCGCAACAGCACTACAGTCTCTGCAGCCAGTTTAACAGATCTCCGACCGCGGTGAGGCGTTTCTGGCGACACGCCTCGCCGCGGTGCATTCACCAGTGCCATGGGCTGTGCGTGCTGGACATGAAGTGCCCGGCCATCAATGCCCATGAGCATCTCACCAAGATTGGATGGTCGGCGTTGCAGTTTAGATATATCCACAGATTGGGATCGAAATCTCAATGTGTCTCTTCGGCCCGCTGGTTTCTCTCGCTGTTGATGATCTTCCCAATCATCGCCCCAAAACTCCCTCTTGGAAATGGGCGAATGACGCTTCACAGACATGTCAAGCTGCCCAAATCTCAGCCCAATCTGTCAGCGGCACCTATCAGTGGGCGGCTGCACGGCAGCACAGCGACCCAGTGACTGAAGCGCAGCTGGCAAGCACCAACGCGAGGCCTGTTTTGCCAGTCCCGTCGGAATGGCCTCACATATGTCAATATGTTCCCCGCCACAGGGCAATTTCGCAAGCTGGCCGCCACGCTGGTGGCGACAGAACTGGCAACTGGCAGGGCCAGGAACCACAGGTGGTGGCTATTCTCCAAACCCGCTCCAAAGGCGCTGGAATCTTATTCTGCAAGGAGAGAGTGCCTTTTTGGTATCTGATATGCACAAACTTAGTCCGTGTTTGCAACTTTCCCACGGCCTGGGAACAGTTGCTGCTGTGGCAGCATTGACTGAGTCAACTTTCATCAACCGTTGTGCGGTTCCGCAGTGCGGTTTCCTTGAGGCTGTAGTGGGGGCTCAGGCTACTGTCCTCTCTCGTGTGGCTCAATCCACCGATGTTCCACGTCCGGAATCGAGCCGAGGACAAGAGCTGCGTGGCATTTACACTGGAGAACTGTGAGCAGTGTAAGTCCAAAACAGGCCAACGGTCGACCAAACCGACTGCCAGGGGCTTTGCAAGCGGAAAAGACTGTTGGCTGTGCGATTAATTGAAGGGACTGGGAGAGGCGCAGTTGGGATTTCATTCAAGAAAGTGGGCTGGATATGGAAAGTCGCAGAAGAACGCAATTTCAAGGGGACGAGCAGGCATGCCGCAGGCATGAGAAATACTCCGGCGTGGCATGAAGCGTAGCTGAACTTGTGTAAGCAGGAACCCTACAGTTGAAGAATAGAAACTGAGGCACTCAAGCGGTTCCGGACTGACTCTGAACTGACGTGCTACTCCCACACTCTTCATTCACACCATCCCCTTAAATAACAAGAAGTTACTCTTGACAAGTCTGTATGTTCAACATAACAATTTTGAGCACAGGCACATCCATTCCTTCAACCTTTATGAGCACCAGTCCCCAACAACCCCGCACCCCAGGGTCGATTCCTATGCCGACCAATCGCGCAGCTGCGGAATCGCATTGTAGGCCAGCAGTACTACTGAGCAACACGGATTCGATTTGGCAAGGATCGATTACAAAGGTCACAAACATATTAGCATTCACTTGGAAATTCGGCCTGCGGTCTGGCTATCTACTACCTGGTAGGCTGGGTGCGACGGAAACAAACGCCACGAACTGCTAGCAAATTCTGATGTAACCACAGTGAAGGCATCTGAGGCAAACTTCTTTGCTAGCGTATCCAAGGATTGTGCTCTTTATTCGCCCCCAGCGACGGTCTCCCAGTAACACAGCTACATTTGGAGTGGAACCAAACCCATCTCCCACCTTATGCCCTGCGCTCAACTGATATTCCCCAGTTGGGGCCATGCATCCAATGCCAATCATGTGTCAATTGATGTATATCATGTGTCAATCCATGTCAATTAATCGAGCAATCTAAGCACATTGCTCTACGAGTCCCTTGATATGCTGGTACTGCTCTGGGTCCCCCTCGGGGCACTCGAGGTCGTTTCCCCCAAGGGAGATCGCCTGAGCAGCAATAATCTGAAATGGCAATTCTGTGACGTTCAGCATGTAGTCAGGCACATTCCCAGACAATTCATTGTCACTCAAATCCAACACAGGAAAGCTCCTCAGCCCATTCAAGACTGACTCGTTGAACAAACCGGCGTTGTCCCAGCTCTCAGGGATCGATCCAGAGAATTTGTTGCCACTGAGGTTGATGAGCCACGTCCGGCTAAACAGGCCTTCACCCCCTGCCAACCGTCCATCCAGCATATTGCCACTCAGATCCAGGATGGCCAGACTAGGTTGCGAGGCAAGAGCGGTCGGAAACGTTCCTTTCAATTTGTTGTTCCGAACAGTCACCTCAATCATCCTATTGCCCTTGGGTGCTCCTTCTGTCCACTCCTGAGGAAGCTCAGTGAATGAATTGTTGTTCAATGTCAGCACAATGAGACTGGTCGACTTGGCAAAGGATGATGGCACTTTCCCCACCAGCTTGTTGGATTCCATTCTCACGCTGACAAGACTTTCAGATGTCCCAATCTCTTCAGGAATTTCGCCAGTCAGATTGTTGAAGCCAAGGTCAAGGGTTCGGAGCTGGGTGAGCTGCTTCATAGAATCTGGGAGACCTCCAGAGAGCTGGGTGCCCACCAAACTCAGATGCTGCATATTAGAGTCCTGTGGAAACACATCAGGTATCGTTGAGGACAGGGGGTTGGAGTCCAGGTGGAGCTCACTGAGCTTGCTGGACTCATTGAACAGGCAGGCTGGCAATTGTCCCGTGATCCTGTTGAACTCCAAGTTCAAAAGCTGCAGATTGTTCTGTGCAAGTCTGCAAATGTTTTCGTCATCGATTGTTCCATTGATGGCACTGACAGCAATGCTCAGTTCTTCCAGCTTCTTCAAACCCTGCAATCAGCACATGCACACAAACACACTCAGCACACGGAAACATTGGTGGAGCCTATGTAAACAGGACTGTGAGTTGTGTGCAATCAACCATTTCGGTGGTTGACACTCTTTACGATGGGAAGCGATCTTTTCTCCACGGCAATACCAACTCAAGGCACACAGCGCACCTCAGAGAGCAGATTCTGGGAAATGTGCATTGCTTGAATTGGTGTAGCCGTGACGCCCAGCAGGCATCTGTGTGCAAGATGTTTGGACAGAACTTGTGCACCCAAAACCACGTCTGCTAGGCACAGTTCCGGCCCTCGCTATGTTCCTTTCCAAGTGTAGCCCAGACAGGGTGCTTGGGCACTGTGGTAGATTCAGGTATGTGACGGACTACCGTCAACCATTGCTGCCGGCGCTACCCGCAGACAGCCCTTGGCAGCGCCGTGCTGCACGCCCCTCCGGTATCCGATAGTGTCGTATATTCGCGCGGCACCGCCACGGCAACTGTCAGACATCCCCTGCCAATCCCGTTGCACCTGCTTCCTGCGCCCGCGCAAGGCCGGTTGGCGTGGGCCCGCCTCGCACGCCAACTCACTCCACACCAAGAACACGCGACGCAAGCAAAGCAGGCACGTCAATCACCAAAACCCTTTTCTTTTCGCGATGGCGTCAAGGCCATCCAACGAAAATCAGCGCCTCGGCCCGTGGCGCTCCCACCCACCACGAGCTGCTCGGCGATCTTCCCAATGTCCCCCGTGAATCGGTTGCCGCCCGCGGACAGCTTCTCCAGCCTGGTGAACGCCGCCATCTCCTCCGCCGGGAACTCGCACTCCAGGCCGTACGCCACCATGTGCAGCCGCTTCAGGCGCCCGGCCCCGTCGCACACGTTTCCATGCACGTGACACAGGTCCACCGGCAGCTCCGCGTCCGTGGTGTTCGACCCCGCCAGGCTGCGCTCTGCGTGCTGCCAGCCGCTGCAGCCCCTCTCCCCGCTGCAGCACTTGGCCATGATCGCCTCCACCGCCGCCGTCTCCGCCGGCACCAGCGCCCTGGACTCGTAGTCCACATCCAGCTCCACCCTGAAGTCCACGGGCAGCGTTGACAGCCCCACCACGGAGCACACGAAGCTCGTGACCTCGGTCACGTTCCCTCCCTCCGTCACCTTGGTCACGCCATCCAGGATCTGGCTGTGGTTGCGGGACACGAAGAGGTAGTCCGTGCCCACGGTGTGCACGGACCGCCAGACCGCGTTGGCGCGGTTGGGCACCGCGAAGCGGTTGTCGGGCGTGACCACCAGGGGGAGGCAGTACACGTCGGCGTCGCCGCCCGCGCTGGCCTCCAGGCTCAGCAGGATGTCCGGGAAGCCCAGGCCGTCCCTCTTGGGCACGGAGAAGCCCAGCAGCTGGAGCTGGCCCAGGGCGAGCGTGCCGTCGACGGGCTTGCCCTTGGAAAGCTTGCCGACATGGGGGTCGTCCTTGAACACGGGCGCCACGTAGGCCTCGTCCTTGCCCTTGCCCTTCTGGGCGCGGGCAGGTGGTGCCCGGGCGGCCAGGCAAACCAGCAGGGCGCAAAGCGCCAAAGCCGCGGCCCGGCTGAGCATGTCGTAGGGGGATGGGGGCGCCGCGGTTGTTCCTTGCTTCCCTGTAAATAAGGTTTTTTGCAGCTCGGCCCCCGCGACCGCCCTCCTGGTCTGCGGCGAGCTGCGCCCGCGCCAGTGCCGTAAGACCGCAGCAATTCCTTGCGGCCTTCCTCCTCGGACGCCGCAAGAAAATCAACAGTGGCGCCCCCAGTACCTTCCAAAAGGTACCTGGAGCCCAATACGGAGCGCCGGCCGTATAAGACGTGGTCATGCACGTGCGCGGGCTTGTCAGCTGGTGGGGCGGGGGGACGTTGAGTCATGGTGTCCGGGCATCACATGCATGACGTCATGGCGAAATGTCCTGCCAGAACCAGAAAATCACCCCAGCATGAGTTGGAGGGCTGGCCTGTCAAGCCAGGCTATGCGCCGCTGATAGGGCGAGACTGGGTTTCGTCCACACAGCAGATGTTATCCCTATTTTGGATTCCCCAATATGTTACATCGCATTTTAGTGTCCATGTGCTGACGGCGCAGTTGTGCGTCCGTGGGGATGGCAGCGTGAGCAGGGCACAAAGAGGGCAAAGGACCAAAGGCCTTCACGTCACATGTATGTCCGCTGGACAGGAATATGTCATAGCAGCACCACCTCCATGATGGAGGATGATCCTGTGTGGTAGTTGTTGTCTTTGTGTAGAGGTGGAGCTGTCAAGGTCAGGAGGCCGACCACTTGCAGAAAAAAGGGGGCGTCAATAGGTATGCGGATGTGCTCACCTGGCCGTTGTGTACAGTGAAGCATCCTAAACAAAATTGTGGCTACAGACGCCGGCGAGCCTCATCCGCAAGGGCCCGTGTGGTCACGCCGAGTTCGCTTTAAGGTGAAGCACGCAGTACCTAGCACATTAAACCCTTCCGCATCACAATGCTGAGCCTTGTTTTGCGGAGCAGTACTAAAAACTAACAATGTGCCGAAGAGTTGCGGAGCCACCAGGTTGTTGTGCCCAACCTGCGCCCGCTGGACACAGGCTTGGTTTTTACGCCATAAAAACTGATCGTATTTACGTTTTTACGCGTAAAATATAGTTCTTACGTTTTATGCATAAAAATGTGTTAAAACACCTAAATACAACGTAAAAACTGCCCGGTGTACATAAGGACAGTACATACAGACTTACGGAGTCCGGAGAGTGGCAGCCAGACGCCCTAGAAGGGGCAGAAAACGAGCTTTTGTTAAACACCGTCATCGCCCTTGCCAAGGGCGAGGTGGACACTGTGTTGCGGGTGCTGGATATGGCGGAGGACTGATCATTGTACGCAACTTTGACCGTGTAATCTGGGCGTCCCAGGGGGCCGTAAAAACGTAAAAATAGCCGTAAAAATAGGGCCTTTTGCAAATTTATGTTTTTCCTCGTAAAAACGTAAAAGTAAAACGTAAACGTAAGCTTAAAATCCAAGCCTGACTGGACATGATGCAGAGCGTGCAAAGCAGTAAATAACGGTCTATCAAAAGAATGCGGAGCAACAAGGTAACGCTGAAATTTCAGAATGCGGTTTTAATGTGGACAGTGGCAAGCCGCTCGTGCGGTCGCACTTTGCGCATCAGCCCCTGATTATTGGATGTGAAGGGGCGGCACTAGGATGACTATGATGTGACAACTGTTACGTGTTCTTTGCATCACGGATCCGAAAATTGCATACATCCTATTCAAGTCCTATGTTCTGGGATCAATTGGATACGGTTTTTCCATGCGGCTGCGCTCAAGACTGATGGAACTTCAGCTGGCCGTCCGCATATCACTGCGGATCGTTCATATGCCGAAATGGAAGCACTTCCTTTAGAATTTTAATAATGGAGACAGTTGATGCAGTAACGGGATCAAATGGTGCAACTTTTCAAATCCTAAGTTCATAGTGCCATTTCAAAATCCGGTTTTAACAATTCTCATCCAATCCTCCATCGTAGTATGGACGCATCATTGCCTTTTTCCATCGATTCTGGCCGGATCTCAGTTCAACGGAGGCTCCAGCAGTTGTACATCGATGTACAGTCTTTTCAATGGATCTACAAGCACGTCCACGTGGCCAGTGTCTTCTCCAACCAGGTCTATGATATCACCCGTCGAATCCACTCTTGTATTTTCTTACTTCCAGAAGTATGTCACAATGCCAACACATTTTTTGATTCGGTTCCCGCTTGCCACCTGGCGAGGACACGTCTTTTGATGTATTATCATCGTGTTCGAATTACCAGAAATTGACCACTGATCTGCCTCCGTCAACTACTGATTTGTAATCCGATGATCAAATGGTGGCATATGAGAATCCCGTTTCGAGGAATGCCATCTACAATATTTCGAATGGCTGTCGGCCTTCCTCGATGTTTCACATGCAACTTTCAAGTTCTCATGACTGGAGGTCGGTGGCTGGACAACTGATGTGCAATGAAACGTAATGAGAGAAGTAAACACAGGTTGAAGAGCCAGTTTAAAGAGATGAAAGTTTGTCACACCAAGACAGCCGCAGCTGCCATGCTGTGCAAGCACCTGTTCATGTGCTGGCTGACTGGTGCACATCTTGACCTGATTGAGATGGCGGGAGGACGGCTGGCCAACAGTCAGCTTCAATCTTGCTAATCTTGGTGATCGTGAGTTGGTACTACGGGTTGGAGCAGTGGGTCGGTGCCGTGGGTCGATGCTATGGGTCGGCACTGTGGGGTAGCGTGTTTTACCTGTGTGAAGTATGAGTTCAGTCCGCCGTTCTGAGTGTGAGTTCTAGTGGGCGAAAAAAGAGGTGCATTCTGGTATTTACAGAGAGCACGAGACTTGTTCGTGGCTTCTCTTGGTTTGGTTGTAAGACAAGTTAAGTCTTGGCTGCTTGTCCGACCATTCACCACGAGCGCGTTCGAGCACCGCGTGCACCAAGGTTGCCACAGAGATCGAACCAAGTCAGTTTGCTTTGCGCTGTGTTGTGGCCCATCGCTGTGCGCATTCGATTGCGACGAGTGGGACCTCGAGCCGGGAAGGCTAAGGAACTTTGACACATCGACAATCGCTTCTAGGCATTAGGAGTTAATAGACTCACAGTTTTCGTTTGTGTTTAACATTAGTTTTCATTGCCTCGTTCTCTAAAAAATGCTGCTGATGATGATGACGGTGACAGCTGACTGTGTACTCGTTCGGTCGTTACTAATGCGATCGCAGGTTAGGCTATTTCAAACATTGCAACCTGCGATCGCATGATTTACATGGTCGCAGAAGGGACCAGGGGGCACATCAGCACATTGACTATGCGACCACAGGTTGGAATATTATCATGTTGCAGCCTTTTCCCGCTTCGTCAATATACGCGTGCACTACGTTTCTGCTGCAGGGCAGGCCTGTTATCTTCACATTTCAAGATGGTGCTGGTCGGCACCGTCTTTAAAATGAAAATCGTACAACAACAATGGGTGGTCGCCACATGGGTGCCAACACATCAGTCAACCAGGCTCATGGAATCACACTGAAGACTGCAACAGTTGTTCAAAATCTGTAAAGTGAATTACTGGAGCATGGCTCTTGCATATCTGATAGCGAAGTGCGAAGAATCACAGAACGGCATGTTGCATGCGGTGAGTGAAGTGCACTGCACGTGCTGCTGGGGATGCAAAACATCAACGCTGAAATGCATATTCACCGGCGCATTAAAACCTTGTTAACAGCGTTTCCTTTGGCTGCTAATGGATGCGGGAACGGCAGAACTTCGGCCGTTCCCGTGTGCTGGGGGAGGCTAGGCCCATTTTGCGAAAATATGCTGGGACCTTGATCGAAGGAGTGGGGCTGACTGTCAGCCTATGCAAAGTTCACTCTGAACCAACTTGACAAGTTGACGAGCCAACACAGTGTGTTGAAGGAGATGCTGACACAGGCATTACTGAAATTTCTAATTCCATTCATACCGTATTTACCCGGTATTAGTAGGCACCCCTTATTACGAGCCAACACAGTGTGTTGAAGGAGATGCTGACACAGGCATTACTGAAATTTCTAATTCCATTCATACCGTATTTACCCGGTATTAGTAGGCACCCCTTATTAGTATCCACCCCCCTCTTTGGGGGTCGAAACCACGTTAGTATCCATGACCCGGTGTTAGTATCCACCCCCCAAATACAGACAGAAACGAGCAAAGGCACGGATGGTGGCAAGGGAAGTCGGCGTCTGGTGTTGGACCGCGTTGCCTAGTCTAGACCAAACCATGTTCCCTGCGATTCGCACATCGACGGGACGATCGGGTCGGAGTGGATGTTGTCGAGGGAGAATTTGAAAGAGGGCCTGGGAAAGGCCGCATGGTTGACTGGCCGCCATTTGCGCTCTCAGCGCAGGATCGCAGAGCATCGACCGATGCCGCGGGGCCTAATCAAAGAAGCGGTCGAGAAAGCAAAGCCGCCCTGTTTCTGGATTGAGTTAACCTGCTCCCTAGCCGGCCAGTGTAGGTTTCGGCCTGCCGCCTGCCAAGGGCGCCCCAAGGCCCAGCGCAAGGAATGGGCAGGCGACGGCGTTGGTTGGGGCAGCTGCCGTTGTGAGACCCCGCCTTTCAAAACTGCCTACATAGCGCTGCCAGGGCGGGGCCCGTCCCCAGCTCGCATATCGTACTAGCTACCAGGCCACAAACACAATCACAAATCACATCAGCCTTCCCAGCCGCCATCAGCCCCGCAAAGTGCCGCGTTTCAAGCTTATCGTTGCGGCATTGCACCCCAGCGAGTTGAGACCCATATCAATCCTCGTTCTTTGCATTGCATAGGAAAACGCGCCTCAAGCATTCCAGCAAACCCCTGGTGGCCCCAATCGCTAGTCGCCACCACCTGATGCAGCCCCAAGTCAAGGCCGCCAGCTCCTGTGAAGAGGCTGACAACATCCCGCACTAGCATTGCCATTCCTGTCCATTTTTGCGCATTTCACAGCCTGTTTGTCAAAAATTTTCTCTCTCTGCTCTTTGGGATCAGGGGTCCAAACCGCGTTAGTATACATGACCCACTATTA